CAGCCTGGACACTCACACGGCCGTGTGGGTCGTGGTCGTGTAGGAAGCCAGAAGCCACTTATCGAAACTCCGCATTTTGTGGCTCACACGGGCAGTCTGGGAGAGTCACACGGCCGTGTGAGTCGGGATTTTCTGGTTTTAATCAAATTTCCAGCCACAAGTGAGGGGGTTCCGAGTTTTAGAGAAAGAAAGCGATTCCTAGAGAGAGAGAGAGCGGCGAACCAGAGTTCCAAAGTGCCCTAGCTTGATCTTCATCGCCATTGGAGCTCAGCACACACTTGGAGAAGTGTCGATTGACGACCAGGAGCAGATTCTCATCCTTCACAGCATGATTTCTGCATCTGAGCTTGCTTTTGCTTCTCTCTCCATGGAGTAACTTCCTCATTCATCTGGGTATGGAGAACCCTAGATTTGTATGTTAGGTCTGATTGTATGAACCCAAGTACAGATTCTGTGATTTGATTATATTCAATTGAGGTTTGAATGGCATGAATCCTGATCAAATTCCTGTTGTTTCTGCTTTAACCTAGAAAGAGAATATATGCCTAGGTTGATAGAGCACCCTTGATTGAAGGTAGGGAGTTGGTGACTTTAGTTGAGGAGCCAACTCACTATTCTGTACGGAATTCACTTCGGTAGTGGAGGTTTTGTTCATTAGGGCCTCAATCTGTTTACTCCGGTGGAGGTTAGTCGCCCGCTGGAGACTCAGATTGAGAGGGTCTGGAGACCTTTAGTCGAGATTTCAGGCTGTTTAAGAACCTTCCGCGGTATAACTATCATAGAAATTGAACTTGGTAAATTGCAATCCGGCTTAACTGTAGTCTAGGGGGAACCATATCCGGGTGACCTCTCTCGACTTGAAAACAACCGTTTATTTGCTTGCTTGTTTACTTAATTGAACCTGCACTAAAGTTTCACTGCTAGATAATTAATAAGAATTCACTGAGTAGTCATCACATCTAGGACCCGGGTTGACAATAAAACCCAAACCCGCTATACTACGCTTTAGGAAGTGGTTACACTTGGCCATTTCCTAGAGTGACAGTAGGAGTGAGTCAGCCACCCTGAAGGTGGGTAGGCGCAAATCGACGGGCCTAATTGCACATTTGTTGCCCTCGTTTTCCTTAGTCAGCCACCCTGAAGGTGGCTAGGTTTCTTGTGTTTTAGTGTGTTTCAGAATTTAACAAGTGAAACATGCCTCGGAGTCGAAAGTTGGATGAAAAGGATCGAAAACCGGGAGAAGAGGTGGAAAAGGGCCAGCTCACGGCTATCCCAGGAATTTCACGATCTTGCACGACCGTGCAGAAGAGCCATTGACCGTGAACCTCGAGGCGTCCAGAGCCAAAACATAAGTTACTGACGCAAGGTGAGTTCACAGTCACTAAGACCTTGAACTGAGGCTGTAGACCGTGAACGGATGTGAACGAAGCGGTGCGTTTTGGCGTTCATCTGCAGTTCACGGACGCGTTTCATGGTTCACGACCATGAATTCAGGCCGTGAACTGAGCTCGTCTCTGGTTTAAAAGATGAGCTGAAAGGAGGAGAGAGGGGAGACCCCATTTTGTGTGAAAATCATTCTTTAGATTTCTAGAGAGAGAAACACGAACCAAAGGAGAAGAAGGCTAGGGTTTTGCTTCAAAGTGGATTTTGTGAAGATTTCCTCCAAGTAAAGTTCAACACAAGGTCCAAGAAGATTGGGAGCATCCTCCAAGATGGTTTCTACCTCTTTTCCTTGTGTTTTTCCCATTTCTAACATGGAGTAGATTTTCCTTTCACTTGGGTGTTGTGAAACCCGAACTCTACCATGTAGTTTCTTTTATGTGAATTGAATGATTGTCATTGGGTATTGGTTAATTCAATGATTGAGGTATTATTCATGTTGATTGAGGTATTATTAAGGGTTGTGTATGTTTTGTGCTTAGCATCCTTAGGTTTGTGCATTTTGGTGCTTAGCAACCTAAGGATTGTGCATAATTGTGCTTAGCATCCTTAGGTTTGTGCATGTTGGTGCTAGCAATCTAATTAGCCACCTTAACCTAGCTTAGAGAGGAAAATCCCCCTTCCAAGGGAGACTCAATCGAGTTGGTTTTCCTTCAGTTTTTTAAGCCACCTAACTAGGTTAATTTAGGGCAACCCTCAATGTTGAATTGAGCAAATTGGTTGATCACGATTAAGCCGTCCGACCCTTGAGTTGAGTGAGGGAGTAAGTCAACTACCGATTTCCTAAACCGAGAGGGTCGAGTGACACAGCCTATAATGTTTACCTCGGTTTAGCAATTGAGATCGTGGTCTCCGACCATATATGCATCCCTCTACGGTTCGCAGTTACCTTTCCCAAAGCAATCGTTCCAATTCACATACCATGGTGATCCTTCCAAAAAAGAGTTTTCAAAACCATTTACCTTTGCCTGATTTTATTATAATTAGCAAACTTTTAAACCAAAACTTTGTTGCTAGATGTGTCAAAAAAAAAACTTTGTTGCTAGATAATGATTAAAACGAATGAAGTAGGGGTAGACGGACCGACCCGGGTTGATATTTAAACATACTTATCCTATACTGCACCCGACTAAGGTTTATACTTGGACCTTAGGCGGGAATTTATTGTGGTATTCGAAGTGAGTCAGACTTTAATGAAAATAACAAATATTTATAATGATTTTCACATAAATTATATACCCATTGGGTAGACCTGCCTCGACCCGCGCCCCATGATAAATTACCTGACCTGTCGCGGGACGAGTATGGATATCAAGTTACCCACCCCCGAACCTGCCCCATTGCCATTCCTACCTAGCGGACCTGGTCGGTCCGTTAGCACTCCAACGCTTAAGTTAGCACCTCAATTTAGAGAGAGAAGTGATGAAAAGCTTTAGTGAAAGAAATCCAAAGTGAGTAAATGAGGTTCATGCACTTTACTATTTATACCAATAGCTTGGCCGACCGTTGTCCATCCTTTTTGCCTTACGTTAGCCTTGCAATAAATGCGCCGTACTCTTTTTCGCTATGTGCCTCAACCACCTGACTCCCTTGTCAGAGGTTTAGGGCGCATGACATCAGGTAGTCAGCCTTTCGTACGTTTCCGACCGTTGGGTGTCTTTTGTCCCATGCGCCTCCTGTCAGGTGTCTGGCCCTACCTGTCCAACGAGCCATCCGACCTCTTGGGTTGTACTTTTTGTGCACTTGGGCACACACCAACTCTCTTGTTGATTTCCTTAGGCCTTTTCTATTGGGCCCTTGGGCCCTCCTTGGAGTCGGGTTTGTCTATTCTTGGGTCATTAGGCCCTGCTCATGCCCCCAACAATAGTCTATGATTTTTAACGCGATAGCATTGTTTTACGCGAAACATAAAACTGTTATGAAAATAACATCAAGACATAATTAAATTATTTTACTCTTAACTAATTAGTAAAATGACATATAATCACACTTTCCGATATACCTTATCTCTCCCACTTTTCCTTTCTCTTTTCTCCATGAAACAACATTTTCCTCTCTTTCTTCGGGAACAGAGTGTTAAGGAAATAAGATTTCTCAGCCAACTGGTGAAGTTGTAAGCTAGTTCCATGTAACCTAACTCAAGATAGGGTCTGTAACAATTGGTTACTCACAAATGAGTAACAAAATCTGGACCTCTGGATTTAAGTGAGCCCAGAAAATTCAGATTTAAGGGTTGTGAATTAAAAGCATATTATTTTCTCTAATTTTATTAATCAACTCTTATTTTTTTCGTCACTCGAATTTCAATTTTTTTTGCACAAATGGAACGAGTTTGTTGTGCTCCACGAAATGAGATCTATGTTTAATATTTTTTAGAATATTTTTCATACCTCTCGTTACCAACTCCATATCATATGATATCTCCTTCGTTTTTAAGTCATTTTTGAAAATATTTGCACAGAAGGAACGAGTTCATCATAATCTATTGGATCTATAAATTTTTGGGTGAAAATAAAAACAGGACCAAAAAATACCATATCATACCATCCTGGTATATGGGTGGTAATTTGTGGTGCACAATGATGAAAGTCGTAAATGACAGTTAGTATACTCCTCCTATTATGTATTCAACCATCCTATAGTCTTGGTATCTTTATACCACAATTGTACGCTTTCATACCATATAATATGTTCTTATTTAATACCAGTCAATACCATATGGTATTGACTCGTAAAAAATGTCTCAATTTTTTTTCTTTTAAGAATATATCAAAGTGGATATCACTTGAAGAGCACAATTAATCTGATTTATTTGTGAAAAAAAATAATTTCCGACTTAAAACAAGAGAGAAATCGTCCGTTAAAAGTTAAAGGGGAAATATTAAAAATTTTCATAAGAGAGAAGATGTTTATGTCACATTGATATAAAAATAGGTTACTCACAGTTATTGACCTGATTCGTACTCATGTAACCCCTTCAGTTTACCCCTCCTAATTGCAGTACGTTAAAAAATTAAGCGAATCAATTAGATTATTTGATCATAATAAATTGTGTTTAGACTGCAAACACAATGTGGTTATACTTTTGCCAACCCTAATTAGGGAGAGCACTAATTCATTTAAAGTTACAACGCGGTAAACTCAAACAAATGGAAACAAATCACTGAAAAGTGCTTCTAGAAGCATATTAATTTTTGAAGCGAAGAGCTGTAAATATCAGTGTCTCTCCCAATCGTCGCAACCATACGCTTCATACTTTCATTTGGTTCCCTTTAAATCCTCTTCCCCTTCCTACTCCCCATTTCAGCACTACAATTACTCCCTTCCTCTTCCGCAAAAAGATGAGAAATTTGAATTTTCCCATACTCTATAAAATCTCACCGGTCGTTCTTTAACTCTCCGCCCTTTTCTGCCAACGATCAGTGAAAAGCAAACCCCACAAATTCCCAATCCCAGTGTTCCTTTTCCAATTCACCAATGTTCACTGTTCCATCCTCCGCCGCGATGCCTCTCCTCCAATTCCCCGCCAACGGAGCACCATCATCTCTAAATTCCCCTCCGGCGAAATCCCCTGTTCCCCTCCGCCGGGGACAGAGCATTCGAGCCTCCGTCGCCGCCTTCCCCGAGGCAATTCCGACCGACTGCCGCCCCAAGCCGAGCCTGTACGAGATTCTGAAGGTCTCTCCCACGGCGTCGTTTGGGGAGATCAAAGCCGCGTACAGGGCGCTCGCCAAGATTCATCATCCAGATCAGGCACGCTCCGGCGACGACGACGGCGGTCGCGAGTTCATGGAGATTCGCGACGCTTACGAGAGGCTCTCGATCCGGCTGTGAGGGCGCTGTATGATTTATCTTTGGGGAGGAGGAGAATGCCGGTCGGGTCTTCCGGCGGGTATTATCCGACCCGGAGATGGGAGACGGATCAGTGCTGGTAGAGGTAGTTGCTGACCTTGCGCCGGCGGGGAGTGGGATTCGATCCGTTTCGCCCGCCAGCCCAATTTTTGGATACTCTTTTGTTTCCATCTTTGGGCCTTTGGCCCATTTAGCAATCTTTTATTGTCTTTTAGAGACACACAGACGAAAATGTTTAAAAAAAAAAGGAGTATGGATGTCAGTATCAGTCACACATTCTTGTCAATTGGCTACACATCGTCCCTCTGTTCTATAGCGACGACGTATGGACATATAGCATTTCAGTTCAAAAACTTCTATCTTCTCCATTTAAGGCCATCATTCTTTAGCTGAATTCCGAATCCTTGAATTATCAGGATTAATTAAGATGCCTGCAGTGTTACTACTTAGTAGCATCAATAAGTGAAAGAACCTAATCTTCTTCGAAAAATATTGTTGTATCTTTTTCAATTATAAAAATTATTAACATTTATTTATATTCAAATTATTGTTGAATTTCATTTAATTGTATTCTATTTAATTATACACCATCAATGCCAGGGGTTACGGCACGTTGTGTGAAATGAGTAATCGGATTGGCTTCGAATTGATCAAGTTGCTGGTTCATTATAGTTACCTATCATTACAATCAGTGAAAGATTGGGTTCCAAATCTATTTGATTATGAGATAGTCAAGATTCTGTTCAATAGAGTCTTAAAATTGGATTATTTGGATCATTAGGTATCCTAGTCAACTAATATAATTACAAGTTGACCGATTAATCCATCGGGACAACATTCTGATAACTTTTTTGTTTCAGATGTGCTAATTACGTGGATAAGTTGAATTATGATTGACCAAACAAACCGAATGTAATGAATTGATCAAGTTTTGACACTAGTGGATTGTGAACCTGTGATCAATGGAATTGTAAATCAGTTGGCAGTGATAAGTTGAGTTACAAATCAATCGGCTTGTGCTTTACATGTAACTAGTCTTCATTGCTTGCGCTCCGCGTCAGAACTTATGTTAAATTTATGGAACCATGTATTTCATTTATTATCAATGTCATATTTTTGTTAAATATTAATGTCATATTGGCATTCTCCTGCGGCATATTGGGCTTGTGCCTTTTTTTGGGTTTAATAGGACATTGAGGATTTATGTCTAATGTAAATTGAATCACTTTTAGTATGGCCAACACTTTTATTTGGAACTAAAACAGAACGTCTGGAGACAGTCGTGTTGGGAATTAACAACTTTTCACTCACCTTTCTTATTTTTGGTGGATCAATCTGTGTACATCCAAAACTTTGAATCAAGAACATGGCAAGGAGCCAAGAATAGCATGAACATACCAACTTATTTCCAGAATTCAAAGCAGGGCACACGTTAACTTTATATGTTGGGTTTTCAAGTTGTAGGCAAGATACATTGACCATTGAATGCAAGTCCATCAAAGAATTTAAATGATGAAATATTCGGTAGACAGCCATTAACTAAGCTAGACTTCTAACTAATGAGGTGAAGATTTACCGCCTATGAAAGTTCTTTGTAATGATCAAAGCTTTCAAAGTGTTGGTCTGCGATATAACACGGTGTGATGATATTAATACAAAAAAGTTATACATCCCAATCTAGGAAACAATACCATTGAAAGGCAAAGCAAGACGATGGTAAAAATCCAAATCAAATTTCAGAATTCACATATCCTTCTGACCACCCTGGACGATGACAGCCACATCTCTCACCTTACTGTTTCTATAGCTCTTCTTTTTCCCCTGGACTTCAGAGAATCGGAGCGATGGTGCATAACACCTCTTCATAAAAAAGAGGATGCAATGTCCATACATCAAGCATGAAAGGTGCCATAGCATGCTGCTTCATCCGTCATCGTTGACTCCAAAACACAGAATAACCCTCAAAAGCAGAAAGAAGGTAAGGAGGGCCACTATTAGAGCAGATTGAAGGTGATTATGCAGAAGAGTCAGAGCCTAAGATTGAAAGCAAAGGGAAGAAGAAGATGGAAGATGCAGAAGATTGAAGCGGCATCGTTTGTTTTGTTTCCGTTTGATAATAGCCGTTAGTCAAGAGACAATCTGTTAGTGCCACCTGTTGGGCACACAGTGATTTATTTTAATTTACAGTTTAACTTCCTTTCAGTTTTTACTGTAGTTGAATTCTATTTTCGTTTAAATAGAAACAGAGAAGCACACTGCTCTCTCTGAGTTTTCCCCTCCAATTCATAGCTGCTTAACCTAGCAGCTCGTTCTTCTTTCTTCTCCTTCTACTTCTTATGGTATCAGAGCGGCATTGATCCATTTCCCCGCTTCATAGTCTGCTATGGCGAACAATCCACCTCCACAGACACCATCGGGTTCTCAAGGCTCAGGTCCCATACCATTTGGTACCTTCCACTCTTCGTCCAGTGGTGCTGGTGGCCAGATCTACAACAATCCCAGTGGTGATGCTCGCCAACAGCAGAATGGTAACAATACTCATCTGGGTCTTGTGTTTGGTAGTCCATACTACATCAATCCTATTGAAAACCTAGGTCAATCCATTGTTTATGAGATATTGGATGGATCTAACTACCAGACCTGGCAGAGAGCTGTGCGAATGGCTCTTAAGACCAAGCACAAGCTGGGTTTCATTGATGGCTCACTTCCGATGCCTGATCGTACTCATCCCGATTTTGTTTTGTGGGATGCATCAAACACTATGGTTCTCTGTTGGATTTTAAATTCTGTGCACAAGGATATCAGTAGAAGTGTATTACAGCATGAGAATGCTATGGTTGTATGGGATGAGCTGAAAGCACGCTTTGGTAGATCTAATGCCATTAAGCTATCCAATTTACAGGATGAAATGGCTGCTTGCAAGCAGGGTAACATGAGTGTGACCCAATAATATATCACACTTAAGGCCATGTGCAGCAGTGGTTGCCTATAGGCAGAAGCTTGAGACTGACTATCTCATCAAATTTTTGAAGGGATTGAAATATGATTTTGATGTGGTTCAAACCCAGTTACTCATGTTGAAACCCTTACCTGCTGTAGAAGTTGCTTTGGATGATGTTTTATAGCATGAACAGAAGTTACAGGGTGATAAGGGTAAGAGTACCAGGGGTATCCAGTCTGTTGCATTGGCTGCACAAGGACAAGGTGATCAGAATAAGGGTTTTATCCCTAACAAAGACAACAAGTATGAGCCTGCCAAGGAAGGAAAATTCTGTCGGTATTGCAAAATGGGTGGACATCTAAAAGAAGATTGCTATCGATTGAAGAACAAGAAGGCACGAATGGGTGAAGGGGGCACTTTTGCTGGTTTAGTCTCCCAATCAGACTCACAGAGTGTTGATTCCACTTCTTCAGGGCAGAGTATTGGCTATGAGAGCAAATCTTCTTCAACTGGCTCTCTCAACTTTACCACTGAAGAACTGAACAAGCTAAGGCTGCTTCTTCAACAACCTGATAGCATGAGTCCATCACCACCATTGTCTCCTTCTATTAAGCATGCCTCATACTCAGTCTCACAGCACCTTCCATCTCATCCTACCTATGCTGGTAAATATGCACTCTCTTCCTATGCTCAACATGGTCTGATGGCTTTAACTCAAGTCTGGATCTTAGATACTGGTGCCTCAGATCACATAGCATGTACTCTTGCTGTGTTTATACAAGCTAAGCCTGTTTCCAACCAGTCTGTGTATCTACCTAATGGCTCTAAGGTAGCAGTGAGTCATATAGGTTCAGTTAAACTACCAACAGGATTAGTCTTACACAATGTTCTCTTAGTCCCAAGTTTTACTTTTAACCTGGTCTCCATTAGTAAACTTATCCATGACCTGCCCATTTCCTTGCTTTTTGAATCTGACTCTTGTCATATTCAGGACCAAACAACCAAGAACCTGATTGGTTCATCAAGACAGGATAGGGGCCTCTACCATCTAACTACCACACCAAGACCACCTTCTGACATTTCACCACATCGAGTAGCTACCACCTACAATTTCCTTCCTCACCACATAGACCTTTGGCATTGGAGACTGGGGCATCCAAGTAGGGAGAGAGAACATCAAGCTACTGGTTGTAATAGGATTTCCATTAAGCAGTGTTCAACTTGTCACTTAGCAAAATAGAAGAAACTTCATTTTCCTCTTAGTGACAGTAGGGCAATTTCTGCCTTTGATTTAGTTCATGTTGATATTTGGGGACCCCTTGCTGTTAAGTCCCATGATGGATATTCCTATTTCCTTTCAATTGTGGATGATTATACACGAAGTGTTTGGGGGTTTTTAATGAAGCTAAAGTCAGAAGCTTCTCATCTTTTGGAATCATTTTGTGTTATGATCAAAAACCATTTCAACAGATCAGTTAAGATCATTAGAAGTGATCAAGGAAATGAATTCCACATGTCTGACTTCTACAACACAAATGGAATTGAACATCAGCTTTCATGTGTGGAAACTCCTGAGCAGAATGCTCGAGTTGAGAGGAAGCATCAGCATATCCTCAATGTTGCAAGGGCACTTCGTTTTCAATCAGGATTGCCACTTCACTTTTGGAGTGATTGCATCCTTCATGCAGTCTTTCTGATTAACAGGCTGCCTTCACCAGTGTCTGATGGTGTTTCACCTTTTGAGTTGCTGTATCATAAACAACCAACACTGAATCTACTTAAGGTTTTTGGTTGTTTGTGTTATGCATCTACTTTGTTAAGAGACAGAACCAAGTTCAGTCCTAGAGCTAGGCAATGTGTCTTTCTTGGATTTCCTTCTGGAATTAAAGGTTACAAACTACTTGACCTTAACACTCACCAAACTTTCATTTCTAGACATGTGGTATTCTATGATACCATCATTCCTTTCTAACATCCTTCTTCTTCCACATATGTCCCTATATCTCTACCACCAGAGCCATTTTCTACCACAACTGCACCTCTTTTTTCAGACAATCCTCTTCCTCCTGATCCATTTCCCTCTTCTTTCATACTGATGACTCGATATTTGCACATGTTTTCCCCTTTGTTTCTTGATCGTTT